AGAGGGAGAGGGAGAGATTAGTAGAAGGGTTTGATAAGTCATAGTACCACCACCCAAGACAGCATGCTAAAATGCCACCTTGAGGAGAAGGTATGTTCCTTTATGTATACTGACATTAATGTGGTATATTTAAGTGGGGGTATATGCCAACCATTTACCTGAATGAAAGCCTGAGGAAAACCTGGGTGAGAAACAAACACATTTGTGTTAGCTGTTTGGGAATGATGAATCAATTATGAGGGTGGGTGAGTTGGACAAAAAGAGTAAAGAACCGAGTGAAAGGATGAATCATAAGATAGAAAGAATTCCCAAGGAAGACCTACGAATAGTGATGTGAGGGCATTTAGAGCAGATCAAGCGGCCACCAGCTCTCCGAAAGACAGAGGTCAATGAGTCTGCAGAAAGCATTGAATGGCTGAAAACCACTGAAGCAGTTCAGCTGGATGAGGACCACAAACCATGCTCTTTGGCAGTTGAAATCAACAGGCGATGACAGTGAAAATCCAGCAGAGTCACTGGTGCCTTGAAGAGTCAGGGGGAGCTGACACTGTGGGGACGCTGGGCACAGCTGTTCTTTTTGACACTTGGTGTGTGAGCGGAAGAAGGAAACCTCACGCTGTCTGGAGTCAGTTCAAACTCACGAGGGGAGCTTTCTGCGCGTTTTTTTAACGTTAGAGAGTGCAGCCTGGTACAGCAGCCACTCATCTCCTCATGTGGTGATCAAACACTGGAAACGCACTGGTTCACACTGAGATGTGCTGGGAATTAAAACTCACACTAAAGTTTGAAGACAAAGAACTAAGATGTGACTATAATAGATCTCAATGATTATTTTATATGAAGCATACATAAAATTGACAATCTATACATTAGCATAACTAATTAAATTAGCATAACATAATTAAATTTCATTAAATTTAATTTCATGCAATTGTTTTAATATTCTGAATGTACCCAACTGAAAATAGAAACTCACATGTGTGACTTATATTACATTTCTATTGTGCTGGGCATATCTGAGGATGTTGTAGGCTGGTACGTATCTGTGATAGGCAGAATTCTAAAACAGTTCCCAAGACTCACATCTGTACAGTCCTTCTCCCCTGACTCCAAGTAGGATGACTGAGTGTGAAGAGATATTTGCCTCTGGGCCAGAGCACTATTGCACAGAATTTAAGCAAATAAGATGAGAGATTCACCTGTGTGAACCTGACGTTCCCAGGCACACCGGTTGGAAGAAGGTGAAGTTTCGGAGAGATGCTCCACCATGTTTTGTAAGAAGTAACAAACTACCAAAGAGATGTCTCCCCTCTACTCTCCTGCTGATAGCCCTAGTGGTTACTGCTTTTCCAGATCATCCTGGGTCATTAAAGAAGCCCACCATCGTCTTCAGACAATACAGTTCAGTCCTGTGGTTCTACCTGTGTCTGTGCCCTCCTCAAACTCATGTTAAAGCCTGAACTCCACTTTTACAATGATAAGAGGTGAAGTCTGGGAAATGATTATGGAACAAAGTCTCCTCTGGTATTAGTGCCAACATAAAAGAGTCCCACAGAGCTGCTTGGCTCTTCCCCCACCCAAGGATGTGGAAAGAAGGCAGTATCTATAAACAAAGAATCAAGCAAGCAAACAACAATAAAAGGACATCACTCAACAAGGATCAATGAAGTCTTTCATCTTGGACTTCCCAACATTCATACCTGGAGAAGTAAGGTCTATGAATATAGAATCCACCAGCCTGAGGTATTCTGTTATAGAAACCTGAATGGACTAACACGGTAGGAAGTCTGGGAAGGAGCAGAGCCTAAACTGATACTTCTACTGCAAACTCGGTATGTACATCATTAAATATGGGAATAGTCCCTTAAAAAACAGCTTGGGGACACACCAGGTACTATCTTAGGATGAACAACAAGGCAAGTATTTGCTAGGCCACTGCAATGTTTTAAAGGTCACAGCCTGATGGATATGTATAAGGATCAAGCATGTTTTTCAATCATCTTTTATAGCTCGTGTTTGTAAATAATCAAGAAGCTGTTGTAGTTCCAATCACTTCCCCAAGTAGTCAGACTTAGAAATATTAGCATGTGCCTTTTACCATATTAATAGGATCAGGCTCCTTTCAAGAACATAATTTAATAATAAGCTGAAAATCTACTTTATTGTTTTTTGCTTCAAAAGTAAATCTAACCCAAAGCAGGGCTTTGCTAAATCCTTTCTGGGGGGCTTAACATCTTATTGCAAGGCATGTTAGTTTCTCAAATCTCTTCATTATATGAGTCTTAAGAGGCTCTAGTTTTAAATGAAAATGATATTTTTATAAATATATAACACATAAATGTATATATCAATGTACTGCCTAACTATGTAATATATATAGGTATGGATATTTTGAAACTTTGCCAAAATTATACCAAGGGACAATGACAAACTTTGACACATGAAATTAGTAAAACTGTACTATTGGGAAAAAGAGATATTTTCAGAATTATTAGTCTTAGATTGCATCAAAAGAAAATTTTGATGAATCCATGATTTTAGCTTGCTAATGAAGATATGTGAATTTTTGAAATAGATACCTATATAGATGAAGATAGGAATATTATGAACTTGCTTCTAAAATCATAATGTATACCTGTGCATCTACAAATTCAGTACATATTCACCAAATTATATCATCAAGATGCTTGTTGAATTGCCTGATCCCACAACAGTGATTCTGACTGAAAAGCTGCCTGAAGAATCTCTTATCTTACAACCTTACCCTTTCCCAGGGAGTCATGGTCACATCTTGGTGCTTGGGAGATGAGGGAAACATCTCATGGAATTTGTGACTTATCTGTGGTGTTCACCTTGTAGATGACACAGTGAAATCTCTGGGTCATGCCCTCAGAGTAGAGATGTTACTTTTGGGGAAAAAAAGAAAATTACATGGCACCATGCTAGGCTCTGAAAGGACTCAAAGAAGAATTTGACCCAGTTACTGACCTGCAAGCCATTTATAGACATCCAAAACCCACGGAGGAGAAAGGAATGCTTATTAGTGAGAAGGACACAAAACAGCGCTTTTCGAAAGAGAAGACTGAGGAAGATACCACTAAACGTGCATCTGAACTATGTGACAGAAACCATGCAGGGGGAGCAGAATCCAGCTGCTCCAAGAGGCCCTCAGCTCCTGCCCACTTGCAGCTTGTAGACAGATCTGAGCCATGGCCACAGTCAAACCGCCTTTCAACTTTCACTCCCTTAGTATTCCTCAGCCTTACAAAATGATAATGAGGGTGTCAGAAAAGGATTATTGCCAATAGTGATGGTGTCACTATTTTAACATGGGCTCTGAATTTCAATTATTGTCAAGAAAATGAACTTACTTCGAGAGAGATTCTCAAGGGCTTTCCCCAGCTTCTTGCTCTCTTGAAGGATGTGGTTCAATTCATCAAAATCACGGCTTTGTGGTTTAGTCCGCCAGTCCCACTTAGGATGTTCTACTGACCTTGGCACTATGTTTAAAAGAAATGGTTATTTCATGAGCATGTCGAACAATGATAGAAACTCACCATTTATCGTTTGTGAAAGACTGCGTCAAGATCAATGTGCAGAATAAAAATGATTAAGTTGGAGATGGTTTTCTTGTGAGGAAACAGCAAGGAGATTTAAAATTGGACTTGAAGAAAATGTTTTAACTCAATAAATAGAAGAAAATATGGCAGTGACTGTGGAAAATGGGAAATTGCAATACTGATTTAAATCTAATTACTTCTATAACTTAAGGGGAAACATAAGGGAAAAGTTTATCTCACATAATGCTAAAATAAATTTCTAAAAATCAGCCTAAAATAATAATTACTAACCCCATCATTAGTAACTGGCAAATATTTTTATGATGCCATTTGTTATATATTCTAAAAAATCACAAGACTCTGTGTGTGTATATATATATATGTGTGTGTGTGTATATATGTATATGTATATATACACATTATATGTGTATATATTGTATATGTATATATACACATATTATATATGTATATATTTTCCAAAGTTCCTATTAAAATTATGTAACAGTTAAGAAATATTTTTCCTTTCAAAAAATAAATTGAACATGGGGAAGTGATTGAGTAGGGCTTTTCTCTGGAAGACATAAAATGGGGTAATTATCATGGTGAGATTTAGCAATGAAGAGAAAAAAGAAGCTTATAGCCTGAAGAGTTGCATGCAAAGAGAGTCAGCACTTCATTTAAATGTGAATTCACCAACTCAGGAGCGCAAGGTCAAAGCAATGAAGACATAAGAATTTAATGGTTTCCCAGATTTGAAGAGTCCAATTATAGGGTCCAGCAAAATTCAACTTTTGGTATTTCAAGTTTTTAAACAACATCAGTAAAGACATGATTGTAAAAGCTTTTGGGGACAAAAATAAGACATTGGATTAACAACGGACTTAGTAATATGTCTGTTCTAGAAGATAGGAGAACAATCTTTAAAAATTCCAACAGAAAGTTACTTTTAACTCAAAATTTTATACCAATTATAGGTGCAGTTGAGATACTTAAAGCTCTTGAGAGTTTCTTTCACAAACATTCTTGCTAAGAAAGTTGCCAACGGGTGTGCTCCAGTTCAATGAATAAATAAACAAAAATCTTAAACTACTTGGAAGCAGGAATGGGTGAACTCTAAAAGAAAGAGAAAGGGGGAATTCTCCTGATGACAGTGGAGGATGGTATTAACATACAGTTGGAAACTGTCCACAGGTGACAAGTTAAGAATGGAGGAAGGCAGCAGAGAGATGCCGAAGAGAGGTCTCCAAGATGCCCTCAATGACATGAAAGGAGGAAAAATACAAAGTAAAGTAGCATAAAAGAGAAGATGAGTTCGATCACATTAAGGAACTCTTTGGGCAAGGCTTGGGGAAGCATTTGTAATGAATATACAGAAAACAAGGATGAACAGGGAAGTGCACATTATTAATTCTTGAAAACATCAATAATCAGTTTGTCTTGCTGAAAAATATCAATTAATATAGATGTAGTGATATTGAAGCAACGTACATCTTAAAACAAATTTGAAGTAATCACAATTGCTCTGCTGTCAGGATGAGATAGGAGTTGATGTGTGCACAGCAAAGTGTGAAGGTGATTCATAAATGATACATCACATTTAAAAGGCTAAGAGTAGTTTAGAACCTTATATGTTCAGATATGCAGACTCAGAAACAAAAATAAACATTCAAGGTGTCAAGATTGATCCCAGTTACAGTTGGGAAGAAAGAATAGTTACTTCGAGAAATAAGAGTAGCTAAAACAATATTTGTATCAGTCTTCAAAATCTTGATGGCCACACTTGTTAACCTGTTTTGAATAATTTCTTTCATCTGCAGTTTGTATCATTGCATCATGTAATTTCCTGTAAAACCATGTTTCAACAAGGTCTTTTCTTACATTTCAATTTATAGAATAGTAGAAATAAAACCACAAATACTCCAAGTCCATATCCAGGCAGCCACAGGGTCTGTCCCTGAATGCTCTAGGTTGACAAGCCCAGATAAGACCAGCAGATGACCTGACCTATCAACACCAAATCCTGAGAAACTATACACTGGCTTTAAGGCATCGAGTTTGAGCCTCACATGACACCAGAAGTTTCCTTGGCAACTTTACAGAGAAACTGAGACTATGTTTTTAATCTGTAGCCTGTGATGACCCATGAATGTAAATGACAGCATGAGAACCCAATTCAGAATGACCATGTTCATCTTACGATCATGAACAGGTTAGCTATGCTTCCAGTTTCAATAGCCATCCTGATAAGTAACACACAGAGGCCTGTGAAGTCATCCATTCAACATGCAGCCTGGGATGAGAACATCTTTGTAGTTTTCTGGCAGACGGAAACCTTACTGAAGTTGTCTTTAATTTTAGAACTCAGTGTTATAGTTACATTACATCTCAGAAAATTTCCTCAGGACAAATGGAAAACAGCAGGAGAGTGTCCCAACATAATATGAGCCAGAGGAGACAATGACAAAATTTGAGGACACTGAGAGCAAGCTCACCCCAGTACAATAGGGTGACCACAGTACTGCACAGGTGTACTTTCTTATTTCCCCATAACAAGGACAGTAGGCTACTTAAAAAACACACTGCATACTGAGCAGGGGTAATTTTTTTTTCATTTGTTTGTTTTTTTGAGACAGGGTTTCTCTGTGTTGCTTTGTGCCTTTTCCTAAAGTCACTCTGTAGCCCAGGCTGGCCTCAAACTCACAGAGATCCACCTGCCTCGCAAGTATGAGGATTAAAGGCATGTGCCAGCACCACCCAGCTAGGGGTAATTTTTAAACAATTCAATATATTAATCGAATTCTAATTCACCTTCCAATAGTTGTTTCCATCCATGAGTTTAAAACTTATTTATTGTTTCCTCCTCATAAATTTATTTTTAATAATATTTTATTTTTTTAAAATTATACTATAATTACATCATTTCACATTCACTTTCCCCCTCCGTCCCCTATGAACCCCTTTAAAAGTTATAGCCTTTTTCCTTTAATATATAGTTTATATATAAATTTAATATATTTTTTTCTTTAATATATAAATACAAGCTTTCCAGTCCATATAATGTTACTTGTATGTATATAATATACCAAGGGCTGAGAATTTGCTATTAGATAAATTGGGGGGTATTCTCTAAGAAAGACTATTTCTCTCACTCTCAACATTCCTTGCCAATAGCCAATAATTCTCTAATTGGATTTAAGACCTGCTCAATACGAGGGAAATCATGCCTGGTACTGGAAACAGCAATCCATCTGGGGCTAGTGGTGAGGTCATGGATGTCAGAGGAGGACCTACAACCACCCTTTACTAAATCAGCATAACCCTAATGAATTTCTAAGACCCAGCTAACCAAATTCTTTCAAGTAGAAATGGGAACACCATCACTGATGAATGTGTAAAACGTATACAGTTTCTGCAGAGGAGAGCCCAGTACTGTCTGCCAGAAGTACTGCTGTCATCCCCACCCAGTCTGCTTTTTTGCCACTTTTTCAATGATATTTTTTTAAAAAAACAAAAACAAAATTATACATATAATTTAGGGAGTGCCACATGCCTACTTAAAAGAGGGTGAATAAGTCTGTCCTACACTTACTATTTCTTGATGGCGAGGACAGTCAGCATGCTTTCAGTCTTCCTGGAATGCACACTGCACTGTCACTGGTGGTCATTCTACAATGCAGTGAGTGCTACAGCAGAGCTTCCTGGTCCTCACTAGAACTTAATCATCACCCAGAGGACTGACCTTGGAGATTATCTATACCTTTTGATCCTGATTGCTAAAACAATAGCTGCACCATGCTTTCCTTTCCAGTATGCCAGGAAGTGTCCCCAGTACTATAGTGATAATTGACTTGAGTTGATTGAGGCGAGGTGCCTCTGTTTTCTGCACTATCTTCTAAATGTTTGGACATGGTTTTGATGGCTTTGTTCTCTTGTATTTATGTAGTCTGTAATTACATCCTTACGCCTCATCCTTTCCTTCTTATCCTAAAGTTTTCCTGATGGTCTCTACATATCTAAGTACTTCTGTTTGTGTATTTTGTAATAAAACATTGTAAACAAGAAGAGCATCTAGAGAGAGGCCCTGGCAGCTAAGAGCACGGGTTGTTCTTCCAGAGGGCCCATGTTTGATTATCAGCTTGTACATGATAGTCCACAATCATTTGTAAGTCCATTTCCAAGGGATCTGATGCTCTCTTTTGGCCTCTATAGGCTCCAAGCAAGTGTGCTGCATATGGACATATATGCAACATATATGTGTAACCATACACATAACATAAAATAATAATAAAAATTAATAAATGGAAAGAAACTGAGGAATATTCCCCCAAATGCAAAGAAAAGCACTAATAGGATTTCTGAGAGATGATTTCAGTTTTTTTTAATTTTAACCTAAACCAACGTATTTATCTCAGTTTTCTTAACTGGATTATGAATATGAAATGGGCAAAAAGTAGAAGCATTTACTTCCATGCACAGCAAATTGGTGGACAATGTCATTTTCATCATTCTGCCAACATTTTGTTTACTATAAGCCATCATCCCACATACTAAGCAACTGGAAAGTACTTAACACATGCTAAGTACCTATCACTACTTTATCAATCACTATATAGCTATTGAAAACTAACAAGCCACTGGGTAGGATGAAGTTATTTTGTTTGTTGTGAAATTAGTCTAATAAATAAATACTATCTTTTTATGGTAGGCTGAGAAGCAAACATTTTCTTGTTTGGATTTTTTTTCTTTTGAAGAAAGATTTTGTATTTTGAGACAGAGACTCACTTTGCAGCCCTGGCTAATCTCAAACTTGCAATCCTTCTACCTTACAAATGTTGAATTACAGGCATGTGGACTAAATAAATATCTTAAAAGAAAGAGGAGGGGTGGGAGAGAGGGAGCAAGGGAGAGAGAAGAGAAGAGAAGAGGAGGGAGGGAGAGAG